ACTAAAAAATAGTAACGTTTACATTCAACGTTTCAGAGAAGGTTAACTTTCTCCGAGAAAATGTTCTTTTAGACTTTTTTACGAGACCCTTCGGAAAAACCTTAACATCTGAATCTTTTATATATGTATTGTACAAGGTCAGGGACGATTCTGATGTCACAAAAAACACGAAAGTCGAACTTTTTTATGAGAGAAAGATAATCTAAAAAAATCATGGGACTAAAAAATAGAAAAAACAGAAAATCAAAGAGAAGAAAATGATTTACGAGCTAGTATGCTCAGATCAAATAGCACTGCAATTTGATTTATTAGAAATGAGCTTCTAATATCATGCTGCAGATAATATAATATAGTATTACTGTGCACACGTACCTAGTAGCATATTCGTAATAATTGCGAGCAAATTGATTGTTACGAAACATCGTTACGAGTTTATAAGTTGGTAGTAGTTAAGCATGTATATGGTGTCGATCAAAGACTACCAGTTTATTTCTTTTTTTTGCTATTTTTTTATTTAAGTATTATGACATCATTCGCGAAAGTGATATTGCGTCATTCTGTTCGACAGAGAATACAAGTTATCGGAGATTCGGAAATATTTTGAGATCGTTAATCGAAGACGTAAAAAAAAATATATGTATATGTATATATAAAAAATAGGAAGAAAAATGAAGAAACTCGTACAAACGAGTAGTTTCCCTTACGTTTTTTCGAAGTTAACGTAGCACTGCTTTACGATTATTCGGTCTTTCCGTAAAAGGACGACATACGAGCGAGTACATTTTACAAAGTTGCCCTTTAATTCTCATAGAGTATAATTCCGTTTCGTAAGAATTTACGATTGTTTCAGGCATTGGTTGTTAACTTTTTTGTTTAACTTCTACCCCTTACAACCTGTACCTACCCTTTTCTACGTTTTGTTCTATCTACGAGCATTTTCCCAAACCCCTATTTGCTGGAAATGGATAAGAGAGAAAGAGACGCAAAGCGAGCGAGCGAGTGTTGTGTGTGTTAGAGAGAGAGAGAGAGAGACAGAGAAAGAGAGAGCAAAACGGAGGATGCGACAATATCCGGCGCCCCGGCGTCCGACAACTGATAACGCCAAGGGATGTTTATGCGTGTGTTCATAATACGTTTCGAGCTATGCCCGAATTCTTCGATCCATTACACCTACCGCGAAAATGCCTCCAATTTTCTCCTCGTTGCAACCACTGTATACCGACAAATTCTGTTCCGCATTTACGTAACTAACTTTATTTCTCGATAACAATAAAATCTATTATCGGAGAAAATAATATACTTTACGTTCACATCGATTATACACTAAACATAGTTTACAATACATTTTACTAAGAAATTTGGTGTACGAGAGAGAAAAAAGCCATGAACGTCATTAGGAAAAAAAAAAAAAAAATAAGAACATATTCGTAGATCGGCGTAGAATTCGCACGTTCGACGCGCGAACTCGAAAACGATAATGCGAGAGACCGGCAAATTTTATAGATGCTGAATGAATACAGCCATAAAAAAGGGAAGTACTTTCTTGCCAGCTCAATGGGTTTCGTATCTATATGTAAATAAAGCAGAAAGAGGCGGCGTAGAGAAAAAGAGAGGAGGCGACCATTTCTCTCTGGCGGAGCTGCTGTAATTTACGTGAGGACCGAAGATAGCGAGGCGACTCACTTCGCGTTCCAACGACGAACGAAAAAAGAAAGAAGAAGGAAGAAGAGGAGGAGGAGGAGGAGGAGGAGGAGGAGGAGGAAAGAGAATGAGGAGGAAAGAGGTGGAAACGATAGTGCTTCTGCTAGTGCTGCTATTGAGATGGAAGTCGACCTCCTTTTCTTCATTATTTACCATTTCGAAAGACACGGGTAAAATAACAGGGTAACAATTGACTCATTTACTCCGATAAAAAACAAAAAAAAACCTAAAGATTGATAACAAATCTTCTATCGTTTTAATCAATAAAAAAAAAAGATAAATGATAATTTTGGGTACATTTAAATATGGAACATAGATGTCTCGGACTTGGAAGAAACATGGAATACCAATACAATGAAGGAAAGGATCGCGAAGAGAAGTACAAGTCGTACACCTCCACCTTCCCTACCAAACGGTTCCACCGAGTGAAATAATAGTTCGCCTTGGCTGCCACACCCAGTATTGTATACACATACTTGGATACATTTCTACATATACGTAGAAAGATACTCGACCGTTCGTCGCCTTATGCGCCTGCTTTGGCATTTTACGTAGGTATACGCGAATGATGTATACGCTATCTAGCTCGGTCGCACTCTCGTACACAAACAAACGCACGGTAAACATATAAACGCATACACACATATGTATATAAATGTATATACATATATAGTACATACACGTGGAGAATATATCCTAAGGTCGGAGAACACGGTGTGCGTGCACGAACGACGTGGCTGGCTTTCCAAGATAGCGGCGATACGAGTTGGGAGTGAGGGTGAGAGAACGAACGAATGAACGTACGAAAGAGAAAGAGAGAAAGAGAGGGTTGGACAGGGGCGGGTGGTGGCTGGCTGCCTTCGAGGTAGGGTGGGATCGAGGGAAGAAGGAAAGCCTGGGGGGAGGCGGAACGACGATGGTGGTTCTTCGTTCGTTCGCGTTCGTTCGTTTCTACGTCCCCGCAGACGTCCAACCGCTGATCTACGATTCCCTCGCGCATAGCGGAGCACATAACTCTTCTCTTATACCTCCTCGTGAGATCCTAGCGACGATATTGCCATCCACGTGTTCCAAACGTATCCCAGAAAACAAAAATAAAAGGGTCGCCGAACGAAGGGCTGATGTGGAAGGGGTGCGGAAGACCGACATTTCTAGCTACGAAAAGGGCTCGTCTCCGATCTCCAACCTTTTTTCCATTATCGACGCTCCAGAGGATACGAGCGGACACTTCTGGAGGATGTCTTTCGGGAGGGTACAATATGGTGTTTCGAAGTTGCCATTGGAAAACCGTTCGTCTCCTTTCGTGAACGACTATCGAAGAATTTCTTTTCTTCCTTTCTTTTTCTTTCCTTTTTTTTTTGTCTTGTCTTTTCTTTTCTTTTTTTACTTTCTTTTCTGGGTTTTTTTTTTATCAAGAACTTTCTACTTCAATGATCGATTTTTTGCACAAGAAATCTTTTCCAATAACCCTAACAAATTTATTTATTCCACTGTAAATGTGTATTATTTTGAAAATTATGGAACGCGTGTGAGTTTCGTAGACAATTTTTTTAATTTAAAAAGACAGAGTCACGGGGGTTAAAACATTTTATGACGAAAAGAATATTACGAAATCTGACAGAGAAGATTTTGAATACAATAGAGTAATCAAAGGATTAGCGGAGGGTTGAAGCGCATCCTTCTCTTTACTCCTATCCTCTCCTATCCTCATGCATGGTGTGCTCGTGCAAGCGGTTAACGCACCCATTTCACGCCTCGGGAGGCATTCAGCTTCCTCATCCAAATTCTAACCAAATCCATGGAAATCCCCTCTCTCGTGCAGCTTTAGAGTATTTCTGTTTAGAAAAGGGTTGGGTGGGAAGGAAGAACCGTGAACCCGTATCCAATTGTTATACTCTACGTTAAGCTCTGAAAATTATGCTCTCGCTAATCAATGTGAACGTATGTGCAAAGTTAAAAGCTCCAAATTGATACTGAATTTTGCACATCGAACGCATGCAATTCGCATACAATAGAAATTACTAAATATTTGTTTAAACAAAAAATAATATCTTACGTGTCAAGTAAAACATTTCGACATTTTCGGTCCAACATGAAGGAAAAAGAAATATATGAAAAACGTGATCAAAGAACACGAAAAGACATGAATGATCGATTCGGTAATCAAGACATTCCCATTATGCGGCTCGTCGACCCGAATAATTCACTGTCAGCGAGTTTCCTCACCCTCGATCTATTCTTTCTCCTCTTAATTTCAAATTCACCTTCTTCTCTCGATTATCGGTGCCAAGTAGTCGAATTCGATTCTCCTAGTCTTAAAAATAAGAAAAAGATTTCTTTCTGAGATCGACTTAATCGTGTCCATGGAGTTAAGATTTACGAGTTTCGGAAATAGTGGAAAAGTTTGGCCTTGGAGAAAAATTAGACGATCGAATCCTTAGGTTTACCCAAAATACATTTTTCTTATAAATCGGAAGGTGTGGTAGCCTTCTAAAGAGCCTCCGTGCGATCGTTTGCAATAGCAGAACGGGCCTAAAGTGAGTATCGATCAGAGAAACTCTGAGGGAATTACCGAGCGTGAGCGATTCTCCATTGCCTATACCAAGTGGTTATATCTGCCATACGTCGTGTGCCATAGTAAAGGGGCGGCAACCGCAGCAGCACGACTGTCCTTTCACCCCCGCCACCTCGTCTTCCCCACCTCGGCTACCCCAATTTCACCCCCGAGAGCCAATATTTATTGATTACCCTCGAAGGCATCGTTCTCCACTCTTCTCTATCCCGATTCCCTCTCTTTCTCTTTCTCTTTTTCCTTTTCGTATATTTTTTTTTCTTGTTCCCTTTTTTTGTTCCTTTTCGATTTCTTTCTCTCACACACCTTTCCTCCAACGTCGAATTTTTTAAAGAATTCTACATCGTGGCAGGGCACTACTCTAACAGCTGTTCTTCGCTCGTTCTTTTTCTTTCTATTTCTCTGAGTTTTTCTCTCTCCTATCTCTATCCCTCTTTATTTTTTAGTATTCGTTGATGGAGATGGAAAGGGACAGAGTTTAAAGATTCCCCAACGAAATGTGCTCCCTTCTTCTTCCCTCGACTTCTAACCCTCAAAGATTTCTCGTGAATCACATAGGATATCGTGAATTCTATGAAATTTTAGGAACATCGAACATCTGTGCCCTATCAGCGAGAACGTAATACTATAAACTTTGAGAAGTTTCGTCAACGGGGCGTGGATGAAACACGTGAATGAATGGATAATTAATCGAGATCGATTTAAGTTTCAATGAAGCACGACTCACCTTGCAACCATGTCCAATGTGGCTTAGCAATATCGTCCTTACCTGGAAAAATATTTGGAAAAAATTGTAATCAGATTGGATATCGATAGAGAAGTTGATACTTACAATCGATTTATGAGAATCGAATTTAAATGTGAGATATACGATCAATGACGTGTTGTTACTCGTTAGTGGTACGCGGTTTAATGTATGGATTTACCTATATATTATATTATATACATTTGTACATGTATGCATATGTTGAACGAAAGCGTGACGTATGATGCCGATATTTTCGACATGACGATATTTCTAGTACGCTAGGCAGTTTCATTTTCGAATGAAGGATTCATATTTAAAATCGTCTCGGGTTGTGCCAAGGGATTAAAAAATTAACGCGCGCTTCGTTCGGTAGTATCGGACCGACAACGAAATCCCGTAGCGTGATTGCGGCTCGATTTATCGAATACGCGTATATAACCGAGTATTGGATCCGTTAATAATCCATTATACGTCACGAGGCTACGATTTTCAACATTTTACATTCTTCCGCTCTCGTAAACCTTATTCAAATTAAAAGAATCCTCCATTATTGTATAATTTCCGTCAAATTTTCTTTAAACGTATTATTACAATCAAAATAATATTATTAATAATTATGCAACAATTTGAATCTATGTATCATGCGATTTGACATTAATAAAATCATTCGTTTTCCAAGATCAAGACTAATTTTTAAAATGATATTAAAAAAAAATAAAAATAAAAACATCTAACAATAACACACGAGACTTTAATTGTAGCGAACATGTAAGGATGGTGAAACCGAAAGGAGTCAATGCAATAAGTCCCTCTTAAATGTATATTTGGTATCGGCGAACAATGCTAACGAACAACTTCTACGCATACCATCGTCGATAACGAGGATATTTTCAGTCATGTAAAATGGAGTGGCTGTCCATTCGTAACCATATGCTTGCATTTATGTATATCCGTACATGTATACACATATGCATAAACGCATATGTATATTTCATGTATGTGTGTACGTACGCGTTGGTTGTTACCTACTTAAGTTAGATATTATCGACATAGGAGGCGATTCGATTGCGTGTACCGGAGCATGCTATAGCGCTGATATAGAACTACTAAACAGGTCGTAGATCAGCTTGGTTAGTTATAACGCCGGCCCTTTGCTCTCTCTCTCTCTCTCTCTCTCGCGTTCGAGCACGCGTGCCCACCCACTATCTCACTCTGTCTGTTATTCTCTCTCTCTCTCTCCTTCTCTCCTCTCTCTCACTCCTCTTCTATCCCCAAACCAATTCCCAGAGGTGTTCTGGATCATTTGGTGGCCCGCGGCCGTGAGATGCGCGCATGCACCGACAACAATGCGCTATCATGATCGCAGAATGCGGATTGAAACATTGCCTGGGATTATAGAGAGAGATAGAGATAGAGTAAAAAAAAAAAAAAAAGAAAAAAAAATCTCTTTTCTGATCCTATTTTTTACGTACTGTGTATGAAATCCATGGATTTTCCATACACTTTTTTCTATATTTTTTTGCTCCCCTAGTTTTTTTTTTTTAAATATTTCCCGAGATAAAATTTATAGAATTTTAATTTATTCCTATGTTACCTATACTTTCACGAACCGAAGTCTATGTAATTTAGTAACTATTTGCAACATTGCAAACCTACTTGATATTTATAATTAATGTATTATTTTCTAGGTATAATATATGATTATTTGCATAAAGTAGAATATCATGTTTATGTTTAATGAATATAAAATAGTCGTTTGGTATACGTTAATGTGGTAGAAGAGAGTTATCGAATCCGTAACAGTCATCTAAATTGTATCTCATCAATTATGTTTTTCGAAGCTGAATATAAATGTCAATAAAATACTTCGAGAGAGGGATACAATTTTAACAACTCTCCCCTGCATTTATATTTACTGTGCTTATATTAAAGGATAAAATGGCGATAAACGAAGAGAAAGGGTAAATAATAAAAATACTGTTAGAATTTGATCGACAAACTCGAAAAATCGAGATTATTTCTAGTATGATAGAAAGCTCTATTTGAAAAAGCTTGACGGACAGGTTCAAACTAAAGAGAGAAACGAACGAACGAACGAATGAACGAACGAACGAACAAACGAACAAATGCCGATAAATCGTATATGAGACATCATATTTTTATCGAGCATCGGTAAAGTTCTCATTGAACTTTGAGTCTGACGGTTTTCTGTCGTCGTTGCAGGTCGTCTGGACGAATCGATGATCGAATAGTAACGACGATATTGCTTTTGGTTGGATTCGCAATGAGGAAAAGTCCGCAAGGATATGACATACGACGCATTGCCGGTGACTGGTTATTAGATTATTGGTCACATCGACAGCTCGTGCGTTGCCCATCGATATTTAGGGGATGAGTTTGAAGGGTGGATAGAATGGGGGTAGAAAGTTCGCCGATGGTTATGGCGGGGCTGGGCGTCGTTGGTATCGCGAGTGCAAGTGTTGTCGTCGGCAATGCCTAGTAACGATGCTGGTGTTAGTGTTGCTGATGGCAATGGCGGTAGTACTCGCCGAACGGTGTTACGGTCTCGTACGCACAACGTACAAATAGATGGGAAAGGGTAGCTTCGGGAGTGATAGGAAGAGGGAGGTGAAGGGAAAATAGGCGGTGGAGAGGGACGAGGAAACGGTAGGGGACAAAATGGGGAGGCTGTGATAACGATAACGTACGATCGGCATTAGCTGCCGGCTTGCTGCAACTGATGGATGCGCTAATTATCAGCAAGCAGGAGTTACAGTGTTTCGCGTCCGTACGTACGATGACTATGCGGTGTTACCGATAAAACTCCACACAGGAAATGCTTCGAACGAGGAAAAAAAAAGTTAAAAGCGAGTCGAACGAAGCTTGGATTGATGGATTAATGGATAGATCGATGGATTCGTCTAGGTATAAATCGTCTATATAAAGATCGAAAAATTTTCAGTGGCGAATAGTGAACGCGTTCGAATATCTTTGGTTCATCATATAGTTAGATATTAAATTTTCGGGAAGATTTATTTGATAACACGTAGAAGGAGTGTTAACTAACTCATGACTTAATCAAAAACGGTCGAACAAAAAGATTCATTATAAAATAAGTAGAAAAAGTTTAAATGAAGAAATAGGAAACACGCGATTGGACAAAGGTAGAGAACTCGGTCATAAAGGATGTAGGTACGTAATTTCGGGTGTACTCGCGGGGTGAAGTAGGACGTTCGTTCGGCGACGAGATACAGATACCTACCCCTTAACCACAAGCCGCGGTCTAAGCCTCTAGACGCATGCACGTTGCATAACGTAGAGCTCGAGGTCGAACATACACAGACATAGCTTTATAGAGGCGGGCTCGATCGTCCGAGAGAAAGAGAAAGAGAGAGAGGACGAGAGAGATCCCGTTGGCCTGTAATGAACATGGCGCTTGTTTATTTAATGGGAAATTCGGTGGCGCCATAAAGCTCGAAGAAGGGGGTGAAACCTATTAAATTTATGTTTTCGGTTTACCCGCTCTGACGGATCGCAATACCCGCAGCCGTCGCCCTCTTCTATCGTTTCTCGCCACATCATCCCCTTTCCTCTCGCCCACCCCCTCCTCATTCTATCTCTCTTTCACACTAAAACCTGTCTAGATCGTCCTGCGTGCGATTTCCATGTGTACGTATACGCTATTGGTAGTCCAATGTAATCCAATATATATATACATATATATTTGGTCACCACCCTAAAAGAGTGTGAGACAACTATCTCTTTTTCTTTTCTCTCTTTTTTTCTCTCACACTCACGGAGTATATTCGATGTGGTGTAACGTCCGCTTCGTGACGGACAGCGCCGCGTCAGCGCCGTAAACTGTCGTCATCGGTGTTCTACGCGTGGTTGGAACGTGTGCCCGGAATGCGCCCTCAAATGCGTTCCACTACGATATCGATAGTCAGTCCTCTCTATTCTACCCCTTCTATCCCTTCTACTCCACTAAGTGTCTCTTAAATTAAGCTCGCACACATTCTCGACTATCTCAAAATGGTTTTAATTACTGACTCCGAAATATCCGCAATATTTCTTTTTATTTCATTGTTGTGTATGTATATTTTTTTTACAATACTCGGAAAACAAGACAAATAAAATTATATTTGTCTAATTACAAAATAATAGATATAAAATAGAATAGAAAATATATCGATAGGAAATAATTTTGTTCGCAATAATTACTTATGAGTCCTATGTTCTTTACCGGGCCAATTAGAGAGAGAGAGCAGAAAGTTTCTACCCTCCTTTCTGGACACTCTCGTAAGAAGTTCCACTCCCTTGAAGTATTCAAACGTACTACTAAAAAACGACCATCCTGCAACTTTATCCCTTTGGAAGCAGCGTAATTGCCAAATTTTCCTCGCCCTTAATTTAGTGTTATAATTGCTTCCTACCCTTCATAAGGGGCTGACTAGTGGTACACCGGTCCTTGGGATTCTACCACCCTGCGTCATTCCTTATATCCATTCTCATTCCCTTAGAAGAATCTTTACACCACCCTCCCAAGAAATGTTCTCTCTCTCTCTCTCTTACTTTTATCACGCTATTTCCAAATAGGGTAATAAATTTATGCTCAATGCGCATTTAAACGACCTCGATAATGCCCTGGATCTGTATCCGCGAAGGGGCGTACAGTCGATTAATCGCTTTTAGATCAAGATCGTACGGGTACAAAGTATGGGATAAATTATTGGACGGTTGTAGGTGGTACTCTGGGAGTAAACCGAGGAACTTTTATGCGTATTACATAACGCGAGAATATCGCTAATAACGGTGGACAAAGCTTGGGTTGCATAATATACGATGAAAGTCATTTATTTTAGGAAAATCGCTAAATACAAAAGAAATATTCTATCAAGAAAGTACACGTAACACACACCAGAATTTATATACAACATTTTAAAGTAATAAAGTCGTAAAGAATAAAATAATGATATTGCTAGCAATTATAAAACCTACATGTAAAAGCTAAGACTGGTTAA